ACAGATTCATACTAACACAGCTACCCCTCTGATACTTGAGATTTAAGTGTCACCTAAGCCTTGTGCAGGCCGTCTGGTCAGGAATGAATTTCACCCACACAGAAAGCTCTCAGTAGGTGAAATACAGGAGATTACTCTCCAGCCTGCATAGAATGGGACCCCTGCAGAGCTGTCTGTTGAAAAGTGTGTTGAACTCCAAGGTGGGAAGAAGCATCTTTGGAGCCTCCTTGCACCTTACAGGAGCATGACTGCCATTCAGTACCTGCCCACAGTCCTCTGGAGCCCTTTGACCCCGGCAGCTCCTCATGCCATTCTTCTCTGCAATATTATTTTTACCCAAACCCAAATGATCACAGCTGCTGCAAGAAACTTTGGGAATCTGGCCACATTAACAAAATGTTAAACCCCAGTCCAGCAAAAACTTCATACCAGGTGTAGTGCTTGCTGCCATGAGCAGTCCCACTAACGAGTTATTGTCTGACTTGAGTGGGGATGATTCAGCATCGTTACCACTCAGCCCACTAGTATGTATCTGTAAAATATCAAAGGCATTGACCGTAGGAGAATTCTGCTGCCAGTTAAAGCAGTAGAAATCTATTGGCGGAATGAATGGAATTACTCCAGATTTACACTGGCGTAAACGAGAACAGAATCTGGCCCTTGTTTTCATATCTCTCTGCAAAGTACCGACCAAGCTGCTGGTGCAATGAAATTAAAGCTGGTGCCAGTCAAAAAAAATGTCCTGCCCAGCAGGAATGTGGTTTGCTTAGAAAAAGACAAACTGAGAATGAGACACTTGACTTCCTTAAACATTCAGTAGCACTCGTGGTTTTGAAACAACCCCCCAGTCCCTGCTAAATTAAAAATTAAGGCCAAAATTTGTGCACTCAAAAAAAAAGTCTCGATTTAGGATCTTAATTCCCATTGAGAATCAATGTGATTTAGGTTCTTAAATTGCTTAAAGGACTTGAAAATATTAGCAAAAGTCAGTATGCCAGTATTTACATTGGTGTTCTAAGGGATCTCATGTTTGAATGTACACCTGACTAATGAATCAATGCACAGGAAATCCACGGTGGTAATTGGCTTAGCAGCTATTTATACCTAATCTGATTTTTGTGACTGTGGAATAAAGCAGATGATCTGTTCTTTAACTGGGCCCCTCAAGCAGTGGGCTGATTCCATGACAGTACATGGCCCATACTTCCCGAGGAATTACCATCCCTTTGTACAATGCGCCATTTTTCACTTGAAATATGTTTGGAAGTATGCATTGCAGAAATTTAAGAAGTTGTGAATGTCAGAGATCAATACCTAGAGCCAGGACGGTGACTAGCAAGCTCCCTCCTGCATAACACTGCGGCAAATACACCTCAGTCCTACCTGTAACTTCCCCTGAACTAAGCCTCTCCTGCTGAATGCACCCAACTGTAGCGTGTGGGGCAAATGTAACTAAACAGAAAAATGAGGCTAAAACCCCTTTTCCATTGTGGCCTGACCAAGTGTGAACCCAGGTTTCCAGAGGGAAAAGATTACAGTGCAAGACCCCATTCTACATGCTCTTTGTGAATTCTCTTCTCCCCTTGACGTCTGCATGCAAATCCCATTAGCAGTGAAAAGAATTACATATGCACATGGATGGGATGGCGTTGGGTAACCCATCAGATTTCATCTGGATAAGCCTGTTCCTCTTTGCTTCCTGAGATATAATTGTATTGCATAAAGAGATTCCCATAGCACAGAATAGCTCTCTAGGTTTAATTAACCTCTAAGCCCAGCAGATACTCTGAGATCTTGTTGATTATTAACTCATTGTGCATCTGCAAATTTTAAAATGACCACTTTGGGGATTGGAGGTGTTTGGGGCAACTAAAACTAACTGCTGCTTGCATTCAAAATGCCCTGGAGAGAGGGCGAAAACCTTCATCTCTGCTAGTTTCACATAGAGCAGTTGAACTCTAGGTCCTTATGTCTGTTTGGTTTGCATATTTATTCAAATTTGGAAAATGCAGCAGGACACAGAAAACCTTATCCAGAGCAGATGCAATTCACCCCTGTGCAGGGGGGACAGGCACAAGGTATATGCACCAATTAAGCCTGCGAAATAGGTCTTTGAGTGGAACTTAAGTGTTACATAAGAACAGCCATACTGGGTCAGACCAAGGTCCATCTAGCCCAGTATCCTGTCTACCGACAGTGGCCAATGCAAGGTCCATCTAGCCCAGTATCCTGTCTACCGACAGTGGCCAATGCAAGGTCCATCTAGCCCAGTATCCTGGATACCGACAGTGGCCAATGCCAGGTGCCCCAGAGGGAGTGAACCTACCAGGTAATGATCAAGTGATCTCTCTCCTGCCATCCATCTCCACCCTCTGACAAACAAACAGAGTCTAGGGACTCTGTGTTGCCGATTCCCTGTGGTGGCCCTGGCACGGGGGTGAATGTCCCCCTGAGAGCCCTTGTTTTGCTGAAATGCAGAAGAAATCTTTGAAGTAAGGAATGGAGAGCTCATGCTGCCTTACTTTTTTTTTAAACCCCTCCCAAATTAGGGCTTCTCTATCAAAAATAGTACCCTGCACTTTTGAGGTTCAGGTTCCATTTGCTCCAGCAAAACTTGAGTTTGGCTTTTATTTTGTTGTGTCTCCCTGGGTGCCAGGCAAGAATGAATTACCAGCATGACTCTTGATTGTTTGAACAGCTTGGGCTTCCATTTGCAATAGTTAAAAATACATGAACTTAATTAAAGTTGAAAAATAAATGTTTAAATTAAGGAAAGAAATGTTTTCCCAAATGACACACAACTGGGTTTCCCAATTCCCATCACTGCTATTGGAGAGACATCACTACAGTTTGTTGTATAATAATATTTATTAGTAATATTTATTAATAAAGTAATAATTCATCTGAACGTATTTAGATTTTTTTCACCAAATGATTTGGTTAAATGGGAAGGATAGTCTAATGGTTATGATCTTCTCATCAGCCATTAGAGACCTGAGTTCAATTCTCTACGCCACCTCAGACTTGGGTAAGTCATTAGTCTGTCAGTGCTCAGTTCCCATCTGTAGAATGGGGATAATCACACCACCAGACCTCACAGAGGGGTTATGAGGATAAATATATGAAAGATTGTGAGGTGCTCAGATAGTACAGTGATGGGGGCCAGATAAGTACCAGCAATTTCAAAGTGCTTTTACACTTATTGGACCAGATCCTCAGTAGATATAAATTAGCATCATTTATTGACTTCACAGGAACTACAGCCAATTTACACCAGTTTAGGATCTGGCCCAGTAGTTAGAGGAAGGTAAGTAATATTATCCCAGTTTTATTACAAAAATGCAGTCAGCTGTTCCAAAAGATACCAGCCAGAACCTTTAAAGCCAACTATCTGACTCATGCTCACCTCTGATGTAGCCCTGTTCTTGTGCTTTTTAGGATGGCTACATTGATTTTATGGAATACGTGGCAGCTCTGAGCCTGGTCTTGAAAGGAAAAGTGGAACAGAAGCTGAGATGGTATTTCAAGCTCTATGATGTGGATGGGAATGGCTGCATCGACAGAGGAGAATTATTGAATATCATTAAGGTGAGCAATTGCTGCTCTGCCTCTCTTTTCTTCCGCCAGTAACTGTGTTGCCATAGCACCTTGGATATCAGCCGCTAGACAAATGTACAGAGAGGGAAAGGCCACAAGAACGCATTCCCAAAGGAAGAACATTCCAAGCCAGAGAGATAATTGTGCTCAGTCAACTGGCAAATTTGCAAGCATTGGACAAATCTTTAGTCCACTCACAATACTGGGCTGAAGGACCTCCAGGCTCAGTTAGGCGCAAATGGGGAATTACAGCAGTGGCATTGTGCCAGTTGCTCTCCCCCACTGCTGTACTGATGGACTGGAATTCCCTTGCAGTCCAAGTCCTCAACCCTCGGCCTCCACACATCTCCCAGTTCTCACTTGCAGCACTCCCTTCTGCTTCAGTCTGGGCTGTTTAAATACATCCATTTAAGACTAGGTTGAGACTAGCACTTTAACTGAACCTAAGGATTTGAATCAAGATTTCCAGAGGTCAAAGGTTTATGAATGATCCCAATGTGCCTCCGTAACTACTTAAGCTTTTAATACATTTAATGTATTTTAAATTGTTTTGAATCTTTTTTTTTAAATGTACTTGTTATCCCTTTGAGAACCCAACCCATTGCATGAAAATTTGGTAATTTATGCTACACCCTTTTGCTACTCACTGCCCACAGATTCATAAATCTACACAACATGCTCATTAAATGTTCTCTGTGTCCTTCTTTGCCTCCAGGCTATTCGAGCCATTAACCGATGTAACGAAAAAATGACTGCTGAGGAATTCACAGACATGGTGTTTGATAAAATTGATATCAACGGAGATGGTAAGGAACTTTATATGCCAGAGAGAGCAGTGCTCTAACTTGAACCCGCTAACCCTAATTCTTCCTGCCAAGTTACTGCAAACTCCTGGAGTGCCCAGAAACAGAGCTGTCAAAAATGGATCTGAAAGCATATGGAAGGCCAGATCTTCAGCTGGTGTATATGACTGTTGCTCCATTGACATCAGTAAAGCTATGGCCATTTACATCAGCTGAGGATCTGAAGATCTGGCCAGAAAGCTGTAGGGTGCAAGGGGAAATCTAGCCCCCAATCCTTTTAAATTTTGTTCAAGGTCTCAGCAAACTAAGAAGAAACAGGTACCATCTAACCTGTCCATTTCGTCCTCTCCTGTTCACCCCTTGGCTGAACTCTAAGTGCTTACACATTTCCCACTCTTACTCATAGACTCATAAGGTTAGAAGGGACTGCAAGGGTCATCTAGTCTAACCCCCTCCCAAGATGCAGGATTTGTTGTGTCTAAACCATCTAAGACAGATGGCTCCAGCCTCCTTTTGGAAACTTTCAGTGACGGAGCTTCCATGACCTCCCTAGGCATCTGTTCTATTGTCCTACTGTTCTTACAGTTAGGAAGTTTTCCCTGAGATTTAATCTAAATCTGCTCTGCTGTAGCTTGAACCCATTGTCTCTTGTCCTGCCCTCTGTGGCAACAGAGAACAACTTTTCGTCATCTTTTTTATGGCAGCCTTTCAAGTATTTGAAGACTGCTATCATGTCCCCCCCCCTTAATCTCCTCTTTTCCAAAGTAAACATATACCATTTCCTTCCGCCTTTGCTCATATGGCTTGTATTCCATCTCTTTGATCATCTTTGTCACTCACCTCTGGTTCCTTTCCAGTTTCTCTACATCCTTTCTATACATTGGTGACCAAAACTGTATACAACACTTCACATCAGGACTAAGCAACCGCTAATCTGGCTAGGATGCAACCTCTTGCAGCCTAT